ATAAACACCGATAACGTGATAAAAATGCGCGTAGCGTTTATTTCAGGCAGGGCCGTAAAGATTAAGAGTAAGAAGATTTTATTTTATCGATAAAATTAATTCAAAACGATCGAGAAATTAAAGTAATTTATCAATTAACACAATCTTCATTAATTAGGTCAATACATATAAATCAAATTAATATTTTAAATTTTTATTTGTTTGCTTACTTATTGTTATGTAGATATTATTTATTTACTCATCATTATTTATATATCTGTTGTTATATTTTTTTTTATTTAGGATTGTCGCGAGTTTTTTGTAACGTAGGGCCGAGCGCAGGCCCCAGCATAACATTTACGGTCTCAATATTTCTTATAAATTCTTCGACAAATTTGAAGTTCATCCGCATAATAATATTCACATCGCAAATAAAAAAAAAGAAACAAGGCGCGACAAAAATTTTGCGTATATTCTGGGTTACGGTTCACTCGGTATGTTTATTTTTTCTCCGTTCCGAATTCGCGCGCGGCGAGGCCTTCAAAAGTTCGCAGGTGTTTCTATACCGTTCTCCGTATGTTGCGGCGCGACTTATTGACTTAATGCACGTCACGTTGAATTGAATTTTTGTAACGAAAGAGATCGCCCTCTCGTCACGCCCACGCGGGAGCGGGATTTTTCAAACGCGGGCGTTAAAATGCGCCTCGTAAAAAAAATCGCGCCTCTTCATCCGGCAGCGAAAACGAAAGTGAGGAAAGAGAGCGTGATCGCCGAAATCGACTTGGACAAGTTCACTGACACACAGAGCGCGCCGTCCATAAATTCACGAACACGGACGAGTGTCCGCTTGAAAACACGCGCAAACGAACTCGTTAATTTATATTACATCGAATTAAGACGCACGTTTATATTAAACTGGTTTACAAAAACTCCCCGGTTTGGTTTCCGCTTTTCCATTACGCGTCGACTTTTCTTCTCACTTGGCACCTCATAATGCATTTAAATGTGCGCTAATCCGCCATCCTTATTAATGATATTCACGATACATTATTCAATACTTTTTGTTTGCTTTGTTTTATTTTTTCATTTCTTGATACTTAGATACTCGTACTTGGTCCTCAAATTGTTTATTGATGTCTATTTTGCATATACAGTCCCTAACAGCAATAAAATCCTGTATATCTCTAGAATATACTAAGGATGTTTTAATATATTGAGAATATCCTTATCTTATAGAGAATATCTTATAGTTTATGATATCCTCTGAACATTCTCAGAATATACATTTGCTGTTAGGGGTGGATCAAAAAAGTATTTGCACACCTAGTTTTTTTTACAATAACTTTATTCGAAGGAATAATACATAATTAACTTATCACATACACCGTATGTAATAAATTACTTATGGACACAATTCGTAATTATGTATTATTCCTACGAATAAAGTTATTGTAAGAAAACTGGGTGTTCAAGTACTTCTTTGACCCACTGGAGATTGTAATAGGTAAACAAACAAGAGAAGTTTTTAAATAAATAAATAAAAGACATCGAGAGTCGCCGAAGTGCCAAACTTGAAGTATAAGAGGCGAACTGGAACTGGAAGTTGCTCTTCGCGAACGTGTTTTCTAAAGTTTTTACACAATCATAAATTTCGGCGAAATTACATAAGAATATAAATTGCAAATTGACGTGCGTGTGTTGCTCGTTAAAGGTCATCTATCCGCTAAATCAGGTTTGCGAATTCATGAATGGTACTGCATACGCACATGCGGCGCTGCGACACGCCATTACCTTCATCGCGCGTAACGCACGTGCGTCACGCATGCCGAATGTTTACGCGTGGCACTCCGGTGGACGGTGGACGCTCCTTTCCTCAAGCCTACCGTCCGAAAGTGCAACCCTCCCATTGTGACTGATTAATTGGAAGAGGTATGCAAATGAAACTTGCACCCAGTAAACTCATCGCGATGCAAAAATACATTCTGATTGTAAACAAAGGATTCGCGAGTCGCGACTCAGACGACGCGATGTCGAAAGAACTGCGTGAAAATGTGTTCAGGAGACGTAGGTAATTAAAGCATGTAATTATAAATATCTGAAAAGTGTCTAATAAATTTGAGATTTGGGATTAATTTTTTTTTTATAAAAGATGGATCTTAAAATGTTATAATTAAAATTCAATTATATCCAATCTTGGATTATAATTTACTAAACAAATTCTTTTAATTTCATTAAACATTATCAAATCATTTTAATTTAATTGATTATATTTAACACTTTATATATACTTATTTCAACTTAAATATATTAGCTAGTTATACTAATGATTTTATAAAAAAAACTTCTTTAACACATCGTGACTTCATCGAACGTAGAGATTTACGTTAATCTCGGCCGCGTGTCAAGGGCACGCGCCGCGATCGCTCGACAGACCGGTGCATGGAAACCGCGCGTCCTGATGGATCGAGAGCGACAGGATGGGCACGGTTGTACCCCCTTGTGCAAGTTCTTTTCTTTTCCTTCCTCGATAAGCTTTCGAACGATCGGCCGCACTCTCGGCTGGGGGCTTCAAAGGAAGAAGAGACAAGGGGGGCACGTGGGTGCGGGCGCGCCCGCGCGCGCGCTTGCTGCTCGGGGAGAGGGAGGACCCGCGCCGCCGGTCGGCGAACGCAAGCGATATATGAAGGCGAAACTCGCGCACGTCGCCCAGAAACTCTTTCACGTGGTGTGCACCACTCGTGGATAGCGTAGGAAGTGCCGGTCCACCGCTCCTCGTGTTCTTTGACATATCCCGGGGGTGTTATTCGAATTTCCCTTTCCACATCGTGCGAGTTGAACACACCGCGACACCGTCGAGGGTACGCAGGGGGAGGAAGTCGCTGAGGAGGTTTCCGCCTGAGGACCGTCGAGACGAATCGGCTCGTTCTTTGTCGTCTTTGGAGAACATCGATCTTCTCAGGGAGATCGAGAGTAGTTCGAAGTGGTGAACCCCCCGGAAGTGGTCGAGGAGCGATCTGTTATCAGAGTGACCATGAGCAAACCGTGGAAAGGTACGTGGCGCATGGGAACTATCGAGTATCAAGGGGACGGTTGACGTGTTGATATGCCGGTGATTAAATATTCCTTGTATCGAGGGATTACATCGGAGGTGTCGTATCGAGGATGAAAAGACGAGATTGTGCTAGATGGACATGATTAATTATTCCTGTCACATCGCGATTAGATTTAAATATTTAATTTTATTACGGTGTGTAGAGCTTGATTTTAATAGATTTATCTTATATGCATTTATCCGATTAGATCTAATCAAGAATAGATAGGACTTTGCTAAGTGGACTAGCAAGATAATCGAAAAACTGCAGCAAAAATTTAGTAAAAATTTTCTAAGCTGTAGATTTATGAAACATAAACAGAACAGGTGCTGTAATTATATATACATTTGCGTTTCTATAAAAAATTTATTAACAATTAGATTGGGAATGAAGTCCGAATCTTTTAAAAGTTTTTAAAGTTTACGCATCAGAAAACTTTTTGTTGTTATTTTACGGTTGGATTTTTATCTCGACCGTGCCGTATAAAAAAAAAGGAAGTAGCTGATCAATGATAATGTTACGTGCAAGAACGAGATTCAAGGTAGCCGTTCGTCGTGACGATGCATGTAAGCCAAGATATACGTCGCATTGTTAGCTAGATAGTAAATTACATAGGCAAACCGCGTGCGATCCTGTCATTGAGACCCAAAACATATGACCGATATATATAAGGCGTTACGAAAGAGTCACATAACTTTTATCATTCGCGATCTTTTCTTCTTTTAATTTAAACTTTATTTTTTAACCAAATTCAATCGTCTTTATCCGTGACTTTGGGTTTCTAAACATCTTAAGTGTTTGCAGTACCAAATCTTGAAAATAATTTGAAAGAGAGTATTTTTTAAACTCATAAACTGGACATGTTATAAATTTTAAAGAAATGAAATAAATATAGGTAATTAATCAAATATAAATAGAATAAAAACTTAAATATTGAGACAATTTATATATTAAATATGCAATATAAATTAAAAAATGCGCAAGTTTTGCATAAAATTAAGATCTAAAATATAAATATTCTATAAATCAATGGGTACTTAAAAGCACGTTTAGCAATTAACATTTATAGAATTATATCACTCGCGGACGAATATATATCGTTTCGCAATGGTCGGCCTCCTTAAAAAAGTAGTCCGACATTCATAGATATTTCGGGAAATTCCTCGCAATAATGTGCCGGACATGACTTAACTTTTATCTTGAATTAATATCAAACACATTAGTTCGGACATTACACATTACACGTTATCGCAGACGCTTTTTAATCGCGCCTTTCAATCACAATTTTGCAATCCATTCCACTACACTCTAACAGGCGATTGGACACATGTTTCTTGTGTATGATATCTTGATAAGGGTGCGATAAGAATTCGCTAACTTCCCTCTTGTATATTCGCTCATCACACTTTTTTTATTTAATTAATTTAAGTCGCGAATTGGTAAATTGAGTTATTAACCAATAAATTAAATTACATAAATTGCAAATTAACAAAGAAATAGGAAATAAAATACAAATTTACGGAAAACGTAATTGATTCAATAGAGTGTACGTTAATAAATTACAGTAAGTCTAAATTAATAAACCAAAAATAAATTACAATCTAATGCAATAAAGATAATAAAGGTAAGATCTAAATTAACAATCTACAAACTTTTTTATTACGTTACAATCTAAACAAATCTGTTTTAATTGTACCTCTCAATTTCGCCTCTTCTTATTTCTCTTTCGCTCATCATAAGTGTGCAGAAAGCGCAAGAAACCCGCATTGTGAAATTATACGAAAGTTAATTTTCTTAAACAAGTAGATTGTACCACCGTTGCAAAGATTGAAGTTACGAAAGTTAGACGTAGATTAATTTCTTCGAGTTCTTCGGGAAATGGATCGGATCGCAGCTGGAGCTGATCGACTTTCGGATTTTCTTTCGCAGGCATGAAGGAGTTCGTTGGCCTGGAGGAGGTCACCAAGCTCGACTTCCTGGTGATGCTGTTCGCCGAGATCCTGGGCACGTTTCTCCTGGTCCTCATAGGCACCGCATCCTGTATCTCGTGGACAACTACGATGCCGCCGAGTGTCTTGCACATCGCATTTACCTTCGGCCTCGCGGTGGCAAGTTTGGCACAGGTGAGTCACCATTGTCGTCAAAAAAATAAATGTAATAAACGTAATAATAAGTGATAAACGTAATAAGTGTAAAATAAACGATTCTACATAGAAATATAATAGTTAATAGTAAAATTGAAAATATATTAAACCAAAAAGTATACAAAAGAACTCTAAATGTAGTAATCTTAATTTCGTTAAAAAATTATGTACGAAAAAAATACAAATTTAGAAATTTCATGCATGAATTCAAAATTTATCTTTATCGTAATTTAATTAAAATTTAAATAGAATTTAAATCAGATTTTTCTTTTCTAATTTTAATCGTAATATGTGATAAATAACAACTGTGGCGGAAAATGATTTATAATAGATAGCTTAGTGAATACTTGTGATAAAAATTGATTAAACGGATTCGCCAAAAATATTTTTATGCATTGAAAAGTGGAAGTCGTGTCAGAATTACGAGTTCTTCTCATTTTATCTTGTTCTTCGAATATTTTGTCTGCTTGAGTATTTCCGTTGAAACAAATAGTTTCCATATAAAAGATATTTTTAGAAAACTGTGATAGGAATATTGCATAAACACTCCGACTAAGATTTGCTCGCTCAATGAAATACATTACGTTCCACATGAATTCTTATCTTTGCTCGTAAAAAACGTATATATACGTACGCGAATACTCGGCTTCCCTTGAATTCGCTTCCTTGAACATTTTCTTCTTTTTTATTTCCCAGTTTATACAAAGAAATATACAATTTGAAATTTATCTTTTATCGATTAATAATCAATTTAATAATTTACGGACATATACTTTTTGCAATAAATAATGGATTGTGATATGTTTGATAGCTAAACAACAGCGGAATATATAACTGAAGCTAAATATATAACGTCATATCTCACATTATAAATTATTGTACGTTCCACGTAATATACAGTATACGCGTTTTAAATAGAATTGCAATTTAAAAGAATAATTGTCGACTAATAGCTGCTGTCTTACGCAACAATGCACAAAGCAAAAGTATTTTCCATTAATTACGGTCTGGACGTTTCCATATTTAATCCGCGTCACAAAAACATTGCGAGAAATATAGATATTATATAACGTATATATTTAAAAATATATATTTATAACAATTTGGGAAAAATATATTTTTATTTGGGGAATATTAAAATCAGACAAAACTGAGGAACTTCGCGTGACGTAGGGGGATTCTAAAAATATCAAAAAAAGATTAGCATTATTCTCCGCGAGGACATTTCAATCGTCCGCTCGGACATCTGCATTTAACGGTGACACGCGTATGAGAAACAAGCGCGTATAATCACCTCGCTTTACGTCATGATTAGTAATTAATTAACATACCTCGTGATTTAACCTTTCCTTTTTCCGCAAAGCGCCTCTCGCGAACTTGCTTTTCGATCCACCATATCGATCATGTTTACATATTTCGAATATTCGTTGATTTCGTTGAATGGATTGGATAGACGCGCTTCTTGAAAATAAATTATGTACAAAGTAAAAAAAAAAGTGAATTCCGGAGAAATTTTGTTAAGCGTGCCTTTGACATTCTAAATAAATAATAAATAATAAATGATGACTCTCTTTTTTGTCGTTATACAATAAGATTTGTGCAGAACTGATTATATTGGTGATTGACACTTAATTCCTTCTACAATTCTTAAAATTGATTTTATGTGTCAACTCATCTCAATATATATTTAAAATATAATTCAATACACACGCTTTTTCAACACACCATATTTCGAGCATCCAAAATGGGGATTCCATTCACCTCGATTAAATTTCGCGACCCGTCTAGTCACTCTTACTCTCGTTCCATGAATTGATCTTTCTACAGGCTAATGTAAGAGGTTTGACACGTCGCATTTTATATGATGTAACCTTTCTTTTATTAATGTATGCTTTAAGATACACTTTAAATAATATTTAAATAAAATATTGAGAGAAGAGGAAACAAAAAATTTAAATTATAGACTGATATCGTTTGATCGCGAATTTTCTTTATAAGAAAAATCGCCGACAATATTTCAGTCGTTCTTACGCTAATCTGCTTATGTAAAGCGTGAAGTATGCGATCTCAATCGAAATCGCAACGTTCCGCAAAGGTTTAAAGAGGAAAAAAGATAAGATAACCACCGGTAGAGAACGAGGTAATCGTTGATCGCGTTTCGATCAAGTACCGCGGAGGATATGCTCGTCCGCCACGCGGTATCGCATACGATTCTCTCGCGAGTGATTAATTCTTATCGGTAGCGATCGTCTGAAATGCTTCATTACGAAATCGCAAAATCATCATTCGAGAGCCGTTTTTCTCGATTGCAATTATTTCTGTAATTTTGCGCTTGGCGTTTTGTACATGTCGATTGCTCTGTCGTTTCAATCCTTTTATCTTTTCTTCACATCTTGTATTACGAGTCAAAAGAGAAAAAAAGTAAAGAAAAAAAAGTATGTATCATACGTACATATACCTAATAACAAAACAAAAATGTAGGAAAATGTGGGACAGCGATATTAAAAAGATCAATAATTAATAATTAAATATCATAATAAAATAATTTTTAATTAATAATATTATTATAGCTAAAATAGAACTAATCGAAATATTAACGCTATTTTTTCTATTTTTACGCTTTATGAGTGAAAATACTTCAGAGAATTGTATTTAAAAGACTATAAGTAAAAATGATTTTAGAAGTCAAATGATCTTTAGAATCGTCCAGAGGCAAATTTTCGCAACAAGTTCCTCACAAATTCCGCGCACTCCTGCGAGTGCACTCTCGACGATATGCGATTGCACGGGCAAGACCGGATCGCTTGCCCGTTCATTGAGACGGATAAATAGACGAGAAGAAAGGGCGAGGGGAATCATCCTTAAATCGCGCTCGCGGTTCGTCCTTTCGAATTCGCGGACTGACCTCGTCCTCGAAACAGTTTATAGCGCGCTGCTCTGTCGACACGCGAACTTTCGGACCGAAACGGCCGGGCCGATTTGTGAAGAGCACTTGCGCGGCCTCCTTTGTATCAATCAGAATCCACGCGACGCGATCACGAGGAGATGAATGGTCACTTCGTTAACTGGCTGAAATATTTTTTCGCTGACGATTCGTGGCCGGGCGTGGGAAGCCCGGGATAAATTGCCGTCCCCCCGGCTCGAACTTCGTTCGTGGACATAGTCGAAAACGAAAGTAAAAGAATAAGATGGTCGTTATAATTAGCAGAACAGAATAAACATCGTTACAACAATGTTAGCTTAATTAATTTAACGGTGTGTTTTTTCTCTGAGAAGAATAAAAAAACTCTCCCTCTCATATACATAAATTAATTAACATTAAGATCAAAATTAATAAGATAAATAAACATAAATAGTACAAAATAAACAATAATATTAGCAAGCTATGAACAGAATGTATTTTTCTAAGATACATTTAATATCATGTAATCACAGCGATTGACGCAAATTTAATTTTCCCCTTTTCGAGACCAGTCTTCTTAAACTGTGTACACCGGTCGTTCGTTGTGCCGCGATCATTTTTCCCCGCCCTCGATCTGTTTTCCGCCATGTCCATCTGTGCCTCTCGTAAAAGGATCGTGAACTTCGGCTTAGTTGCGGCGACGTTTTAATTGACACACGCGAACGTACATGTGTGGGCCGCCCGGGCCCCGCGTGGTGGTAGGGTAAATAAGGCCGCCGGTTCGCCCAAGGGGGTCTAACTCCGTCCGGAGATGGTGCAATTGTGCCCCGGGGGCTTCTGACAACCTACTCGAGAGATCCGGAGCTGGAGCCCGAGAGAGACTAGCGCTTACTATTATCCCGCCTGTGCGTATCGCCCTTTTGACTTCACTTTCCGACAGCTCGCGGCGCGGATATGACTGTACGGTGCTCTAAAAATTGCGCGAAGAATTTTATCTTCTCCCTAAAGAGAGATAGACAATGAGATCCGAACTCGATTTTTAATTGAGAACGACGATTGAATGATAGGGGTTTTAAAATATCTCTTCTTTTGAAATCTTAAGAAATCGATCTCTCGAAGTATAAAGCCTCGAAGTAAAAGTCTGACAAGATTAGATTTTACTTTTTCAAGAGTTGATTTTAGTAAAAATGATAAAATTTATAACACACCTATCTGAATTATTTCATTAAAGAAAAAACTTTTTTACTGCTTTTTAGAACTGTTTCAAGATTTTTAAGGATTTTAAAAATAAGTAAATTAAAGTCTAAAAACAATAAATTTATTTTATATTAAAACATAAGTTTCACGATTTTTATTTAACGATCCTATTTTCCAGTGAAGAATATGCCGTACTTTCTCAAATTCTATGCGATACGTATCCCTTTTACGATAATGCGTATCTTTATAAGCTTTTGACAAATTAATGTTTTGGCGCTAGAGTTTAAAACGACACCCTCCTCCCTTCAACTCCAACATCCAATTATATCTCAATCGTACCGTAATCGTGTTACAGCATCGTTTAGCCACGCGTCTCTTCAAACAGGCGACTCAATCGAAAATTCTCCACTCGAGATCTAAGACGCGTTCTCGATCCGACAGCTCCATTCAGAACGAGAAATGAATGCCAAAAGTCTCTCTTGCTCTAACAGGCGGTATTGTCTCCGATGTTAGCGATAGGTTTTGTTACACCAATCGCTTTGCACGCAGCCGGCGTGAGGAACAAACGTTGATGACATCTGTGTAACCGCTTATTATTTATAGATCGATTGTTTCTTTCTCTCTCTCTCTCTCTCTCTCTTTTTCTATCGTGGAATAAAAGTTATAATTTATACAAGTGCGCTGTGCACGACCGATCGTCGCTGAATAAGACTTGGCGAAGAAACGTTAAGTGGCTTTTCTCTAGGCAGTAAAAAAGACAGAGACAGAAAAACTTGAACAAACGACGCATTATGGAGTAGCGCTGAAAAAATATTTGAAAGAGTCCGCGTGTTTATCGAGATGAAATAATTGTACAAGATAATTGTCGTGGATCTAGTGC